AGAAGTGGGCCACGAATCCGGACGAGAGTCAAAGGCGTGTCGATCAGTCAGACCAGCGTTCGTCGTCCACATGACTTGCGGAGCTCTCAGAACTTGGCAGGGAATCCAGATAGCTTATAGTTGACCTTGGGCGGGTCCGGAGGTACTACACATCACACCCGTCAGCAAGTCCAAAAATCAAAAATATCCAACACGTACATTGCGGATGTCCTGATGTCTCAATGAACCACAATGAGTTGGCGTTGGCAGCATCCTGCCCCCAACCAAAGTGGCGTTGAAGATCCTAAAGTCCGAGTTGTTGTTGAAGCTTCGGCGAGGGTACGCAGTGACAGAGTAATCTGTTGCTGTTTACTGCAGCCAGGATAATTGCGAGTGAGATAAATGCTTTGCGTGTTGCGAACGTGACGATTCACTACTGGTGACTTTTGACTCGAAAACGACGTCCGCGAATGTGTCTGCCGTTCCCCTACCGCCAGGGTGCGTTGGAACTCGGAGCTCATAAATCCCTCGCCACCGCCAGAGTTTTCGATGATTGAGAAGTGGATTTCGAATATGGCCATGTAGTAGAAGATGGGCACGATGATGACGTGGGAACTTCGACTTGTTGAGACGCACTCCGGGTCGCACAAGCCACTCCTTCATTGTAGGCGGTTGCACATTGCGAGTGAGAATATTCTTCTCTCTGGTTAATGAACGAAATCTAACATTACACAAAAGACAAACAGAAACATGCCAGAACGTCTTGATCACTCCGAGAATGCGAAGACACTGGCAAAGAACGGCTTACTACTTCAAATGGCCGCTTTAGAATCGGAAATAGCGCAAACGCAGGCTGTTCTTCTTAAACAACAAGAGGAGCATCGACGATTGCGCTCACAATTAAACTCTCTATCCCCGATCAATCGACTTCCAGCAGAGATAAAAGCGGAGATATTCTACAGAACGTTGGGCCCGCTAGCTAACAGCAAGTTCATCGAAGAAGGGGAGACTCCCCTCTTTCTAGGCAAAATTTGCCAGAGTTTCAGATATTTCGTTTGGTTGACGCCAATTCTTTGGACTACTATACGCCTTTGGCT